ACACCACCACCACCACCACCACCACCACCACCACCACCACCCAGCTTTTTTGTTGTTGTTTTTTAAAGACAGACTCTCAAACTGTAGCCTGGTGTAAAACCACTGGTCTCCCTGGTTAGCTCAGATTGGCCTCAAACTTGGCATTCCTCCCATCCCCTCTCTAGTGCTGGGATTACAGACCCAGTTTCCATGAACAAGCTGGCAGTTGTGCTCTATAAACATAGTGGAACAAGGTTATGAAAACACCTGCTTGGGAAGGTTTTAGTACAGAGCTGCCCTGGGCACAGCACATGAAAAGTTGCAGATCCGCTCACCTCTTGAGGTCAACTGAAGCGCAGCTTTTTCCTGCCTCTGTGTTAAAGCTCTTTCCCCACCATGCAGCTCTGCACTCTGCTGGCAGTCTAGTTGCTGGGTTGCTATCATGTGCTCCCCATCCTGGAAACGGCGACGTCTGAGTATGCCCTTGGGACACACAGATTTTAAGCCAGAAAAAAACATAGCACTTGAAAACATGATTCCTAGCTTGTGATTTTAAAAATTAAAAAGTCTGTCAGACTTTGTCCGTTTTTCCAGCAGCAGAGGAAAATCGGGTTTTTGGTTTTGTTTTATGTCATGGTTAAAGTAGATGGGCTAGACTCTCAAATAACAGGTTTTGAGTCTGCCTTTACTGTACTTTTTTGATGCCCGGCATAATTTCCCAAAGGGCAGACAGTACAGGGAGGGAAGTTCCATCCAGACTTGCTGTTGATTAGAATCCACTTTAGATGACATTAAAGAGGTCAAGCGTCCATGTTTTACCTGCCCGCTTCTCAATATTCCACCTTAACATTTATCTGTGGTCTCTTCTGGGCCAGGCGTTGTGCTAGAGACTTTCCAAAGATTAACTTCTGGGAAGTAGAGGTAGAAATCAGTTGAGCGTGCTTGCCTAGCTTGCAGGAAGCAGGGCCTTTGCTCTCCAGTACTGTCTAAGCCAGGTATGCCGATATGTGACTGTAATCCCGGCATTTGGGAGGAGGAGAGAGGAGGAGGAGGAATTGAAGGTCTTCCTCTACTGTTTAGAAAGTTTGAGGCCTGCCTGGGATAACTAAGACCCTGTCTCAAGAAGAGGGGGAAAAGGAAAAATGGTTCAACCTACACAGAGTAAATAAATGTTACCAACGACTCCTGATGGGAGCATCCCAACAAGTTGTTCATCTTGTTTATGGTAACTTCACAGTGCAGCCTCCATAAGCAGGTACCACAGTCGTCCTGCTCTTCCGTTTCCCTAGCTACTGGGAAGTTCTCTGCTGTTTTCTCCTTTGGTGGCCATTTCCCTAGAGCAGTGGTTCTCGACCTTCCTAATCTGTGACATTGAATACACTTCCTCATGTCGTGGTGACCCCCCACCCATAACATTATATTTGTTGTTACTTCATAACTGTAATTTTGCTACTGTTATGAATTGTAATGTAACTATCTGATACGAGACCCCTGAATGGGTCCTGACCCACAGGTTGAAAACTGCTGTCCTAGAGGCTGTTACTTAGCTGCTAGAAAAAGGAATGTGCCAGTGAATGATTAAATACCACACTCGGGCTCCCCCACCCCTTCTTTCTTCAGATACATCACACAGCAGGAAATGGATGTTTTTGATATTTTTAATTGCTTTTTCTTGGTTAGCTTACACGTGTATTCCCCAACAGCATTCATATATATTCATTTGAAGGTTTATGAGGTATAGCAGGCTTTCTTTTAGGCCACCAACCAGCTCTCAAATAAAGACGTGGAGACTTATTATTAGTTATGCTCAGCTTTATCTTAAGCTTGTCCCACTAGCTCTTATAACTTAAATTTACCTGTTTCTTTTCATCTACATTTTGCCTTGGGACTTTTTACTTTTCTTTCACTGTGTCTGTCCTACTCCGTGTCGGTCTGGCTGGCAGCTGCCTGTCTGCAGGTGTCTCCCTCTCTTTCCCCTTGTTCTCTCCTTTCCTCTGAGCCTAGATTCTTCCTCCTACATATTCTTTCTGCCTGCCAGATCCACCCTATCTTCTGCGTAGCTATTGGCCCGTCAGCTTTTTATTAGACCGATCAGATGCCTTAGGCAGGCAAAGGAACACATCTTTATATGGTTAAACAAATGCAGTATAAACAAGTGTAACACACCTTTACATAGTTAAAGTAATATTCCACAACAATGAGGCTTTCTGATTTCCTTGTTAAATGTCTTAAAATCTGTGTCTTCTCTGTTTAGGAGAAAACATAGTAAAAGGGGATAAGGAATCTATCAAGAATCTCCTAGAAATATTTGATGGATTGTTGGAGTATCTGACAGAGCACATCAGTGAAACGTCTCACAACAAAAGTAAGTTTAAGAGTGGAGCCCAGCTTGCCCACTGCTCTTAGGAAGCAGAGTCTTTAATACAAGTCAGCTGGTAAATGCCACAATCAATGTCCAGTTCCTTCGGTTCTGAGTGGCCAGAAACTACCCATTATATTCTTTTTTTTTTCCTTTCATTTTTCTTTATTAAGAAATTTTCCAAA